AACTTACATGTCCAATTAAATTTTCAAGTGGAAATTACTCAAAAATCGATTATATTGAAATGAGAATCTGCTATATTGAAAATCCAAGATCTAGAATAAAAGTAATTTAATTGATTAGAGAAGCTTTGAAACTCTAAGTAATTCAGTGACGCCATAGAAACCTTCATAAATTAGCCCAGCAAAAATTAAAAAAGAACTCAACCTACTGAATGTGTTCTAAAAAGATACATGATTACATGTGAGTATTAATCAAAGGCGTCTAGAAATCCCTCGAATAAGGTATAAACATATCTACTTTTCATTCCTGCAGCTACCGCGAATAATTCCCTTTAAGAAACTTACATATTACTCCTGTCGCTATAGATATTGACGTCATTGTCATCATCGTAGTCATAGTCATTATCGTAATTATCGTTGTCATTGTCGTGGTTATTATCTTGTCGTTGAAGGTGTTTTTTATTTGTTCAAGGTGTTTTGTCGTTGTCATTGTCGTAGTTGCTGTCTCGTCGTTGAAGGTATTTTTTATTTGTTCAAAGAGCAAACATGTTTCGCTCAATTAATAAAGTTCGTTCCACTTTCGTTTTTAGTTGTTTATGCTAAAAAAAGGTGGAAAGAGAGAAAGATTTTTTCTCATTTGTGTAAAATTGCAGTTTGCGGATGGTACATTTTTTAAAAAAAATCTCTTGATCGTGATGAACATAAGCAGAAGCCCCATATGCAACTTCAATGAATGACCGCAATCTCAACCAGCGTTTGATGGTATGAGTAACTTCTTTCTTTTTCGTCAGACCTTCGGATCTGTAAAGTAAGGAAAGAGATGTTAGGTGTTAGAGGAGGTATCGAAAAGAGAAAAATTACCAATAATATAAAAACTGAGCTTTGACCTGAGACCTGTTGTGATTAGTCCGGTAATCGTCACACATGCCTCGTTAATTTCATCGTAACCTACATTATCTGGGAAAGGGGACGAACACGATTAGAACGTCTTATATAAAAAGAAACTGGGAATAGGAGGGTCACCCTTCAAACACAGCTATGCCACCACATCACCAACGAGACCCCCCTCGTGA